TGGCATGTGCGATGCTCTTCAAAAGAAGGCCAACACTTTCTTCCGAATCGTCGTAATCGATGATGTCGGAGTAGAGCGATGGTGCGGCGCGCTTCCGATTACGTGCAAAGCTTCCAAGGTTGAGGATCAAGGCTGAGTACTTCGTCCGGCTGTTGTAGATAGGAACGGGTCCTTCCTCAGCGGGACCGATGGGCAACGGCAGAGGTCCCCGAGCTCCTCATCGTACACACCAGCCGCCAGGAAATAATGCAACATAGCGTTCATCAGTTCTTCCCGGCTTGCCGAACGACGGCCTTTGTTCAGCTCTCGAAGTCGCTCAAGAAGCATGTGATTCAACTCTAATGCCTCTTCACGAGCGGCGGAAGCACGAGCCATTTCCCTGTCATCGAGAGTGCTTCGATAGTCTCCAGCTCGGAAAACAACATCAAGCTTGGTGCTTCGACGATAACAAATCGGCTCCATGGCGCAGACCTGCTCCATCAAGTCCTCCTCAGCGAAATAGAATTTCATATGGACGTGGGGAGGAGCTTGTTGACGGAAGTACATATGCTGCACCTTAAAGGAGTTGATTTTGTCGAGGCGGATGTTGTCGTGGTAGAGACCAGTTTGCCCATAGCCGTGGATTTGCTCAGCAAGTTTCATGAGCGGGCTCATTCGCTCCCTCAGGTGATAGACTTCAATGAAGTTCTGGTAGTCGACCGTATCGGTCAAACCTTCCTCCTGTTTCTCACCCGCGAAGTCTTCAAAAGCCTGCTCATTCTTTGCCTCCGCTTCGGCTGTGGCCTTGGCCTCTGCCTCGTAAGCCCCTGGCTCCACGCGTGTCTTAGTCTTTCCCCGGATGCCCTGCTCGTAGAGGTTGTCTTGGCCGTTGGAGGCATCGGCGGAGAAGTTAAGATCTGGCAGCCTGGCATGGGTGCCTCTCCAGAGGGAGAGCTTCCCGTAGCGTGGTCACCAGTATCACCAGCATCATCCATGCGCACATCATCAGGGTCTGCAACAGGCTCAAAGGTCGTCTGCTCAGCCTTTTCAACCTTTACACCAGATCCCTCTTCAAAGGAAGAGCCTTCTGGTGCATCGGTCTCCATCGGTGCACTGGAATCGGGCTCCTGCTTTGTGTCACCAGCCATCTCCCCAGAGGGAGAGTACGCTGGTGCCTTGGCAGGGCCACTGGCTGGCTCCATGGGCTCGTCCACTTCCTGGATGGTAGGTCCAGGGAGATTTGAGATGAATTCCTCCACGACGATGTCATCGAAAGGTCGCATGTAGAGCTCATCAATCTCCCGAGCACGCTGGGCACGAAGGTTCTCATACGAAATAAGATCCGCGTGAGCTTTCTTCCCAAAAGCAGAAGTGAGAGCGGGCGTACCCATCTCTCTCAACTGTTTGTCCAGCGCTGCAAGGACCAGAGACGCATTCCAGGGCTCCTTGAGTGAAGAGTCGTACAAGGTGTAGTTCTCCGGAGTCTGGATTTGCGTCTGACCTCCAGGTTCTGCCTAGCTGGAGACAATCTTGCCCGTAGGCCTGGGAAACTGCAGAGACCACCGTGGAGAAATTCGCCCGCACTGCCTTGAGCTCAGCCCATACGTCCCTTTCATAGCAGAAAGCCTCGTAGAGCATTAGCTTGGCAGCGTAGTCGGGGTCGTCCTGTTTCGGCTTCTTGCTCCTGGGATCGGAATCATCAGGAACTCTGAAACCAACATCATCATAGGACGGCGCGAACTCACGGTGTTGAGCATGGCTGAGCTCCTGCAAGAGAGTGGTAACATCGTTGCCTTCCCCCTTGTCGAAAGGAGATTTGTAGCCTTCAGAGTAGGCCTTCCCCTTAAGATTGAGCTCCACCAGCATATTGCCCTGCATCTTCCCCAATTCGAAGCCCTTGAGGAAGAAATGGNNAAATGGACGCCATAGCCACTCAAAGGATGGCTAAGCCAGGACGCCCAATTGTACTCGAAACCCAGAAGCTTCCGCGTATCGGCCGGCAAGGAACTGAAAGGTGTCGTCTTCACCAATGCATCCCCGTAGGGAGCATACAT